ACCTTACAAGACTTGAACATGGGTCTCCTAAAGGCTCACGGCTGAAAATGCGCATTCCTCAAAAATTGGAGGGCTGGTCTGCACGGGTGAATCTCTTTAATAAAAGTCACTGCGGCACCCCTAATAAGGTTGTTTTATCTTCAAGAGAGCAATTTCTTCATTTTAACAAGGCTTTGATTGTCAGGGCCCATGGAGTCCAGACCATGTGATGGATTTTGACATAGTGTGCCTTTTACTTTGGCTCGCCAACATGGAAGGGCAAACACACACTCGGGTCAGGGGCCCTTTGCCGTTTCATGTTCGTGAAGGGGTTTGAACGCTCAACGAAGCTCTGGAAGTGGCTTGTACCTTCCTTTTGCACATACATACATGCATTAGGGTTTAGGGTTTAGGAACCAACTGTTGTGGTTTTCTTGTACATTCCATGCAGGGAATAGTTACATACATTGGGGTGGTTGAAAACGGGGTGATCGAGTCGGTGTCCCATGGAGTCTCTGGGGCTTCCGCCTCTACACTCACCGGTGACCAGAGAAATCGAAGCCTTCCACCCCCAAAAAAACATGGTGGAAGGTGCTACAAAGAAACCAGACTGTGTTTCTTTGTTTTTGTTCATCCTTGTTCCACATTCTATGAAGGCATGAAGGCAACAGAGTATTCATGGTGCCAAGGGTGCCAACTCGGAGCATGCAGGGTGACCATGCAGGGGATGCACTGTATGGTTTTCTTCTTTTTGGTGTTTGTTCCTGGAGCAAAGATGCCCAGGTACCTCCTTAGCATGGTCTGATGGTCTTAGAGGTGGAGTCCGTACTTCCAGAGAATGGTCGAGCTGGGGGCCCAAAGGATCTCTGAATCGGACTCTCCTGGACCCTTAGGGCTGGTCCTGGGATCCTCTTCACCGTTGTGCTCGTCCCCACTCTCCAGGTCGCGAGGCCGACGAACGCCGTGAAGGCGGGGGTTCCCCGGCTCCGGTTTCCTGATTTTGGTGTGGTGACGGACACCCATGGAGGTATCCATACCCCCCCCACCTACACCTCCATAGGGATTGTAGATCCGAAAATAGACCAACTAAATTGAGTTGGTCCATGAAATCTCTGAACTGAACTGGGCGAACCTTCCCCAGATGGTCAATGCGGTTATCAGAAGTGTTTTTTTTTGGTGTTTAGACACACAGCTATAAACCAAGCACAAACCAAGCCTGAGTCCATCAATACCTTCAGATGTACAGAGCTTTCCTGGTTCAACGTGTTATAGGATATGGTTGTGCTCAAACACACATAAACAAACTGCGGGCTTTTAGCCAAAAGCAAAAGCCGGCTCCTGGCTACCTGTGGTGGTCCAAACAGTGTGGTCGTGTGAAGCCGATTTCGTCTTCGGCCATTTCCTTGAGGGGAAACGGTCACCGGATGCGGGCGATGCGAACGGTGACCCTCCGAACTCGAACGCATCGCTTCTCCTCGGAGAAAAAGAAACAACTGTTCGGCGAACGACTCATAGGCGGAATTGGTACCTGTTGGAAAGAATCATTGACCCAAATCTTGGTCGTTGTAGACTCATTGATTCTCTTGAGGATAATTAGAACAGGTTTAACACTCCCAAATGGACCAGTTTTACTATACTGACTTACTATACCAGCACCTTCAAAGGGGTGACCTAAGGGACCTCCAGACAGGACACCCCGAAAGAAGGTCTAGGTACTAATTAATTACGGTTCTTTTTCGTGTCCCAAAGGATTCGGCAAAGTTGTTTTCACTCCGCCGCCCGCCCAAGTGTTATCGGGCAGTTCTAAAGTGGATGTCAGGGGGGGGACGTGTTGGCACAGGTTTGGACCTCATTTCGTGGCAGGTGAAGAGTTCTGTGTTTGATTGTAGAGCGAGATGCTCGTCAAGAGGCATCAACAGTGAGTCTGTGATTGTGATTGTTGGTTGTGTGTGGTTTGGTTTCTCGGGCATCTCAACGAAGCCATGGTCAATCAAAGTTTGCGAGAGGTGGAAGTTGTGAAGGCTTATGTGCGAATGATGGGCCTTCATACAACTTGAATTATGCATTTGAGATCAGGCTATTGAACAGCTGAGTTGTTGTTGGTTTAACTGTTCCAGTCCCACGGAGTGTGTGGGTTGCAACCAAAGAACCATCCACTTTTTGTTGGTTTTGTTTTGAAATGCGCGTTCTTTGGCGAGCTGAAGAAGAACGTTTGACAAACTTCACGTAGGCCGTGAATGCAGCAGGTCTGAAGGATAGAACAATGTGAGGTCTCTTGAGTGCAATGCTTTTCCTTTCCCAGACGCTCCATGTATGACATGTTGCTTTCATTGGATGGTTGAAAAGGAGTCAATGTAGGCATGTATTCCATATATGGAGTGTTTGGGCTTTGAACCTCTTCGACATCACCAGGCTCCTCTACAAAAGCCGGATTTCACGTGGCTCCAGATCCTATTTGCACCGAAATAATGGTTTACGGCTGAAACAAATCCTAGCATGGCGGACGTTTTGGAGCTAGGACAAGGTACTCATTGTGGTGTCATTAGATTGGCCGCATGGAGATCACACCTACGACCAAGCCAGAATCATCGTGTGGGATCAGTTGGCAACTGGTCCATGAAGTGTCCAGACGAACGTGCCAGTGGCCAGCAGAAGCCGCAGTGGACTCTATGATTCTACTTTCAGAAACAGGAGGGTTGTAGGGACTGGAGAAGATGTATGCCGACCAACTGCAGCGTTTTTATTGAATATATAATATATCAATATTGGTTTTGCTTCTTCTTCTTCTTTGTTTCATGTTGATGAGTCATGGGTCGGAGCCCATCACTGCCAGCTTCCAGACCCGACAATAGGCAGAAAGCACGTGGAATAGGCAGCCTTTGGGAAGTAGATGGAGGTTCAATTAAGCTGCAGGAATCATTAACGCATCAAGCCGGTAGCCAGTTGTCTCCATGTGCCAATCCATTCAAAAGTATCAGTCCGTGTATGAAGAGGGTTTTTCACAGTCCATTGAACCGGAGTATGTCCAGTCACGGCCTTCATTTGGGACAACAAACATCAATCAACATTTACTTATTTAGATAGTTTGGATGTTTCTTTCACCATTACAGTATCTTTTGGAAAGCGTGACCTTGTCGGCTTTCCACTCCACCCAACCCAATGACCTCCATCTCCTCCATCTCCGCAGGCGGCGAACCGGAAGGTCCGCGACGGGGTGCGGAGCTCCGCCGTTTACACGAAGGATAAGGCCGTGGTATTTTTTGGGGCACTCGAAGGAGTTGGACCACCTGGGCGCGAAGGAGGGGTTCCTGGGTGGCCACCTCGGAAAGGGTCTGGACAGGGTGAATTGATCTGAACTGACTCTTTGATACTCTGTGAGAAGAGATGGTCTTATTATGAAACATTATGAAAAACACTCGAAAAAAGAAAGACGGACCGAGCTGGAGAGAGCCACGGGGTCCTTTCGGTTCTGTCTAAGTCCAGTTAAGACCAGTTTCGAAACCTTGACTCAAGTCTTGCTAGGTGGTGATTTGTATAGGGGTGTGTATGTGTGTGTGAGTATTTGTGACATTTTGCAAAACAGACATGGTCGAATGGGATTTGAGACACGAGTTTTCTGGGGGTTCAATACTGCACGGTCCGGTGAGAACTGGTTCATCAACTTTATGATTCGATAGTTGAATGAAAGGTATGTTAACAGATAGAAAAAACACATAGATGCCCCAACTGAAAGCTAACATATTATAGGAACAAGTCAAACATGTACTGTCTTGGAACATATAATATAATATAACAAATTCTTAGCCACAACACTTGACTGTTTATGTCGAGTCGAGACGGGCTGCCCGGCAGCCGACCACGTTTTTGTGCCTTTCATTATCATCATATTATATTGAGCTTTACCAATCTTTCCATGTATGCAATTTTTGCCTACATACATTGGGGTGGTTTCCCCGGGGTAAATGTGCACGACTTAAATCGACTCTAATTAATATATGACTCTTTATTTAACAAATATGTGTCCCAAACATACAAGGAGCGTTTCAGGTAGTACATAGTCAGGGTTATCCCAAGTCCAGGCATCCTTTGTCGTTGGAGACAGGCAGTTTGTCTTGTTATTGTTAGGTGAACACCCAACTGTTGGGAATCTGGTCGGGACAAATAACAACATTGGTAGAGCCTTATCGACAGGCGGTTGATGAATCGATAGGCCCCAGTCGTGAACCACCAAGATATAGGCAGTTGGGTCCGTGGGAACTTACCTGTAACAGTCAGCAAACAAGATCACTACATGTTTGAACTGTCGGACTTCAACCAGGCCCCAACATCATTCACTGGGCCCTGGTAATAGGATAGACCCAAGGCATATGATTCCAGATGGATTTTGACCCCTCTATGATTGCCCAAGGTCGGACATCAGTTGGACTTCGACAGATCCGTAAATCGGATTGTCACCTAGCTCGTCTTGGTCACCATGCGAGCAGAGAAAGCTCCCAGGCGTTTGGGTCGTACGTTTAGGTCAACATCTCCATTTCTTAGAACATCGTCTCCTTTTGGTTGATGCGATTCAGCAAAGGCAAGTTGAACATAGGTCAGAGGTCTACGGTTTTGCCCCTGAACGTCGTTCTTGGTCTCATGTCGTGCGGCGTACTCGTTGGCATCTAAATTTCCAGTTCAGATGACAAGACAAATGCTGCCAAGGGCCCGGAAAGCAGGTTTTTCAAGAAAGAAGTTAGTCACATCAATCAAAAGAAGGGAACCTGTCAATAGAGATCGAAAGAGAGGGATAGAGAGTTTTCCCTGCTACTTCGAGACTTCCTGATGGTATATTCCTGATCTGGATTTCTGGCAAATTCTTCAATTTCCCTGATTCCCAAACGCAGAAAGCACTGTTGCCATATGTGTTGCCATCAGTTGCCATTCTGCCAACTGGACATCACCACAACAGCTTAAGTCCAACACAGCTTACCATGCTGGAGCTGATCATTCTGCAAACAACAATTCTCCCAACCATTTGCCTTGCTTGGACCATTTTCTCTCACTTGTGGGTGAGCCATGCGGGCGTGGGCTCGTGGGAGAAGCCCAGTGACTGCCATGGAGAGCGTGGAAGACTGCAGCTGGACAGCAGGAAGACTGGTCAGCGGGGCAGTGCAGTGCGGCATCTCTGCAGGAAATACTAGGGACAAACCGTGAGCAGTCAAGGTGGCAACTGCAGTTGGGGGAGTTATTCTTCATATGTATATACAGTTGCAATTCTGGACCTCAACTGGTTCTGTCGCTATGCTTCAAGCAAAGGCCTTAAGAGCCTCAAGACATGGCTGAGGCTTAGGAAGGACAATAGATCAAGCTCCCTGAACACTTACCACTCCCACCATCTCACCCCTTCTCGTTCGCACTTAGCGGTCTCGCTTCACCGCTCGCTTCACCGCTCGCTTCACCGCTCCGTAGAGAAGGTGCTCGCAGTTCCTGTCGACGTCATGTCTCTGGAGTGCTTTCCTTCTCTGCAACTTCTGGTGGCCTGTTGTCCAGATCCCAGCGCCCCCTGGTCGCATGGAGGAGACCGATCTGGACAAAGGTTTTCGGAGTGGAGATACGTTGTGCATGTCAAAAACAGGAACAAACAGGCGAAAACCAACATTAAATACTTATAGAGACTCCACTGGCATGGACATGTTGATGCAAGATTTTCTATGTATGTTGAGATTACAGTGGATATGTCTATAATATAGCTTTTCGTTGCAAGATCCAGCATGATCCTTCCTCTCAAGCCCTCCCCGTCCGTGCTGCCAAGCGGCCCTCACACGGCTATCGCTGAAGCGTTTGACTCCCCGTTCAGCGCCAGAACCCGTTGAGCACCCGCAGCCCCCAGCCCCCAGCTTCACAGCCTCCGAACCCTCCCCCTTTGATGCATTTGGCCCTGACGGATTCCGTCAGCGCCGGCCATCGCTCCCAGCGTGCGCGAAGTCGGGTCGTTGGCCATCGATTGCCCTTGGTGCCTTGGCGCCCAGAGCGTCGTACGCCATGGCTGCGTGCCAGCTGGATGCCACGAGGTGCCACTTGTTCTTGTTGGGCCATGACCCAGTCCGGCCATGGCCATGATGGCCTTTCAACATTGGTTGGTTGGTTGGTTAAATTGTGGGGATACCCGGCATATGGTACCACCAATGGGTATCTGGTACCTGGCATCGACCATCGACCCTATTCCCCCAAAGGACATCGACCCTTTGGACCCCTTGGACCCAGCCAGATGGGTTCTGAGGTCGCGCCGCCCGAGTTCCATGGATGTCCGGCGGAGTTCCTTTCGATGCGCTGCTGGGCTTAGGACGAGAAGACTAGCTGAGACAAGAGCAGAGAAAGGGGACATATGGAAGACTGGGGTGATGTGCCGTATGGACTTTATAATCAGTTTGGGGAAGGGGCGAACCAGGATTTGAACCAGGTGTTGAACCTGGAACCTTCAAACGCTTCCAAGGGGCTTCAGCAAAAGCTGGAGGTTTGTTTGCAAGGGTGTTTGTCAGGTCAACATTTGACCCCCGTGCTCCCGCGCAATACCCGGTCAATACCCACCCAGAGCACACCTAACACACACACACACACTTATCTATATGTGAAATGTGTGAACACAGTGTAGTTGGCATCCCTCAGGGCTAGCGGCTAGCGAGTCCCATGCCTTGTCACTGCTTTCCTAGAGTCAGGAAGCTTTAAGGTTGACCACATACTCCTGTGATTGTCCCTTTGCATACTTGTTGGGGGACACATCTGCTCACACAAAGAGAATGTCCACTTTTAATTAATCACCCTTTGGATTGAAAAAACATCTTTCCGAGGGCTCGCAGTACCTCCTCGGAAGGTATTTGGACCCTCCGGACACCCACGCCAGTCCCAGTTTATAGCATCATTTTCTGCAGCGGAACATGTGGAACACAACTCCGTCTTAGACGTTTGGTGCAGCTTGGATTGGTCGACTTTTCAAGGACTTGAGGCAAGAAAAAGCATCCAGGCCCTGGACCAAGTTGGATTTGGATGATTTTGAAGAACCTTTTCTTCGCACATTTGATACAAGAGATTGACACCTCCTGGGATTGGGTGCCTGCCTGGCATGATCAGAAACTACTGAAAACTAAACGCATCAAAACCCTGACCCCCTCCATAGCGACATTATGAGGCATTGATTGTACTGCTGACATTGGGCAGCCTATTTTTTGCAGGTAACTTAGTGCTTGGCCTCAATCATTGCGACAGTTCGTTAGTACTTGGCCTAATTTTCAGTGGTGCTAGAAAGTTTCCTCATCCAGAATGGAATAGGAGCGGAGATGTGATGAATTGGATTCGCATCTCCTTGCTTTGACGCTTCCTGACACCTCTTTCACTTGTTGCGGGACTTTCACACAGCAAAGTCCTGCCCTGGTTCGTTGGTCGCATTTCCATGTCCATACACTCACCACCTGTCAGCGCCGGTCACCATGGCCGCGCGACCTGGGCACGGAAGCCGGCGAAGCAACACCCGAGGCCCCAGCTGCTGCATGCCCGGCGTGGTGGTCGCCGTTCTCAAGGCTGCGGGGGTTGTCCGCGGTGCAAGGATGGACCGAGCCGGTCAGGAAAGAAGGATGGACAGCCATATGTTGATATATGGTGCTTATGGTGCTTATTTATGCATAACTTTGATATATGTAGAAAAGCTTATTTGTGCATAACTTTGAAGTTGTTTGGACACGTTTCATGGATCCTGAACTGGTCATTTTCTCTCTAGACTAGCAGCATCTAGCTTCATGTAACAGCATTCGAACATTCATCCCATGAGATATGATCATATGTTTTTGAGGATCCCTTAAAGTGTGACCCATTTTACAATTTACAATGTTCCTTTGGATTTCATGCACTTTTTGGTACAGTTACAATTGATCCATGTGTTTCCTGAAGACATATTTTTATTGTCATACACAAGACAATAATGCATCACTCTTCCATATTTCGTTTATGTTCGTTTGTTCTAGTTATAGTCTCCAGGACCACCGCCCGGTATGCCTTTTGGTGGCGAGGCTTCAGACGGGATACCTATCAAAAAGAAAATTGATTCCTATCAAAAAGAACATTAATTCGTATCAAACATAATCCCTACTCCTTTGGTCCTGGTCTGCAGGTTCCCTGGTCGCTTGGTCCTTTGGTCCCTTTGTCCTGGTCCCTTGGTCCCCTGGTCCCCTGGTCCCTTGGTCCCTCTGGTCGCTTGGTCCTTTGGTCCCTTGGTCCTCTGGTCCTTTGGTCCTCTGGTCCTGTGGTCCTTCGTCCTGGTCTTCGGGTCCTTCGTCCTGGTCTTCGGGTCTTTCGTCCTGGTCTTCGGGTCCTTGGGTCTGTACTTTCGAAGCAAGACGCGTTCAAGGTGATTTGGAAATCTGGTCATACATCCTATGAAGCGCCGTAGCAGACCTTCTATCGCCAGACGTAGCAGACCTTTTTTGTGAGCCACCCTGACGGTAAAATTTAGACGAAGAAAGTGCCATTCCAAGGTAGCAAGCCTTCTGTGAGCCACCTGAGGGCGAAATTTTGAAGAGGAAGGAGCCGTTCCAACGCTGCAGACCTTGCCATTCCAACGTAGCAGGCCTTTGTTTTGTGAGCAACCCGAGGGTGGAATTTGCTATTCCAACGTCGACCCTTTGGATAAACTTTAGGTGCCACGCCAAGGTAGCAGACCTTTTGTGAGCAACATTTAAAGGAGCAGTAGACCTTTTGTGAGCCACGCGAGGGCAAAATTTACAGGAGCAGACCTGTTGTCAGCATAAACTTTAGAAGAGGAAGGTGCCATCCCAACATAGCAGACCTTTTGTGAGCCATCCACAGGTCTTGTGGATTTGTGAGCCATCGTGAAATTCAGAGGTCATGGTTGAGATGCAGAGAGGCCTACATCTACAAAGATCCAGAGGCCTGGAGATCCAGACGGATCTGCATGTGTAGAGGGCTAGAAACCCACAGACCTAAAGATGGAGGTTGAGAGGTCTTGAGTCTTGAGATCCAGGGAGGTGTTGAAATCTAAGTTCTAGAGGTCTAGACTTACAGAGGGTGTAGAAAGATGTTCAGGTCCAGAGATATCAAGAGCTCTTTTCACAGGTCTTGAGATCCACAGAATTTTGCAAACGCCACGCAAGCTGCACTTCAAGGTTCGCAATCGCTGCGCTTGCCACGAAGTCTGCGCCTATAGACAAAGGTTCACGCAATCTGCACTTCGAGATTCACGAAGTGCTGCGCCTGCCATGAAATCTGCAGTTCCAGTGCACAAAGTGCTGCGCCTGCCACGAGCCCTGCAACTGAAGGTGCTCAAAGTGCTGCGTACAAAGTGCCGCTCCTGCCACGAAACCTGCTACTGGAGGTGCTCAAAGTGCTGTGCCTGCCACGAAATCTGCACTTCCAATGTGCAAAGTGCCGCTCCTGCCAGGAAATCTGTTACTGGAGGTGTTCAAAGTGCTGCGCCTGCCACGAAATCTGCAGTTCCAGTGCACAAAGTGCTGCTCCTGCCACGAAATCTGGTAGTGGAGGTGCTCAAGGCGCTGCGCCCGCCACGAAATCTGCAGTTCCAGTGCACAAAGTGCTGCTGCTGCCACGAAATCTGCTACTGGAGATGCTCAAAGTGCTGCGCCCGCCACGAAATCTGCACATTCAGATTCACATCGCGCAGCGTTGTCAAGGCGGCTTGCAGTGGCAGGCGCAGCTCTTTGTGAGAAATGTTTTGTTTTTGATGCAAATTAATTTTCTTTTTGATATATTGATGTTCTTTTTGATAGCCCGGCCGCTTCAGACCCACCAGGTCCGCATGATTGCCGGCTGGTGGAAGCATGGAACAATACCATGGTCCATGCCAAGCACGGGGTTCTGGAGTGTTCCATCCTCGTCCAGGCTGCCAAGTGAGCTTGGTCACTCAGTTGCTGCAGCCGTTCAGAAACTGAAAAAGCAGCTGTCCATGGCCAACTGCTAGCAGAGCCAATCAGCCGAGCAGACCTGACGCAGGCACAAGGCGGATAAGCCATCGTGGCTGGAACGTGCGACTGCACTGGAAAGGCGCGTCGTCAATCTGCCGCCGATCGCTCGAAGAGGCTCTGCCAGCGCAGCCATCGCCGCAAATAACGCGAAAACTTCAGTGAGGCGGTCGCGCAGGCGCCCTTCCCCAACGGCCGGCCCAGAGATCCTGGGGCGGTCAAGAGGGGCACGACGAGATCTGGAGGCCGAAGAGGACATGTAAAGGGCTCGAGACTGCTTAGGTGGACCTACCTAGGGTCTACTCGAACTCCAGTGCTCCGGCACGCTTTTTCCGCGGTCCGTATCGTTTGCGCCATAGCGGTCGTTGTTTGTGCGGGGTGCTTCCACTGGGTAGCGAGCTGGCGAGACCACGGAGTCCCACTTGGCACAGGAGGCAGAGGCTCAAACGCTCCAAGGCGAGGAGCCTCTTGCGGGAACAGAAGAAAAGACCCACCCACAGGGTCGGTGTTTCAACCCCGAGGCTCCGCTTAGTCTATCTGAGAATAGGATATGTCTTGTCCTATCATCAAGATAGTCTCGAGGCGATCATTAAAATAGACTATCCCAAAATAGTCTTTTTATGTTTTATTTTGAACTATTAAACTTTGATGAAAAACAAAAATTTCTGCGCTCAGAAAGCAGAAACACATCTTTTCCTGGAGCGCGGTGCGCAGCGGAATCGTACAAAAGTTCAATTATTCAGGCGAATTTGCTAACATGCATGCCTTCAGTCAGAGCCAGAAGTGCTTGGGCAACCAACTCGCTTCCTTAAGCAGCGGACTAGGCATTTAGCAAGAAAGTTTGCTTGCCGCCACTTTGACTGTCGCAAATATCGAACGTGTTTCTCGAGCTTGTGGAGTGGCAGCCTCATGGCCAACATTCTTTGCAGCCGCATTGGAGAGATTTTCTTCTGCTTTGCCTTCATGCATGGGAAAGGTTGCGGCATCATCATGTAAAATGTTCTAGGCAACTGCACGTCGGGCCAAAAAAAACCTTCAGAAAGCACCGACAGACGATGGAAGGTAGAGACATGTTCTGAAGCTGCATGGTCTGAGGAAAAGAAGTGAAACAGAAATCAAACTCAGACTCATGGTTCGCGATCAAGGTTCCTTTTTTTTGCGTCGAATTTGTCTATATAATATTGCCCGTGCGCCGAATTATATCTCCCAGAAAAGAGCGGAAACTCTCTCAGAAAGGGCCCTCACCTGGCATCATTCTTGGCTTTGCGCTGACGTTGCAAGGCATCCTCAAACATGGCGTTTCAAAGCCACAGGTCTGTCGCAGATGCCTCATTCATGGACAGTCGACTCGTCGTCTTCATCGGCCAGATGAACACCTCTTAGAATCAGCTCTTGGCGGATTTTCCTTGCCAGCACATGTGCCTTGCGATTGTGCGGCGGGGCGTGGTTCATGAACCGGTACTTGTCGAGCAAGGAAGGCGAGGACATCGTTTTGAGCATCTGCTGATGCTTGCAAAGGGCAAAGGCGTCTGAAACCATGAGTTTCAAGCAAACGGCTATACAAACTCCGGGCCAAGAGCTATACAACAATGAAAGTCACCACAAAAGGAAAAGAAAGGCACCAAGGCACCAAGGAAATCTCAGAAAAGCATGTCATGAGGAACGAAAACCTTCAAAACCTGAAGAATTATATATTTCCAACATAACACGAAATATTCAGAGAAAGGGCCCGCAGGGGTTCGAATCCCCTCGGTGTCGTTTATGTTATTACCTAGACCTAGTCGTTCCTTGTTGTTTAAAGGGAAAGGGACGGGAAAACGTCGAAAAAACACCTGAAAACTCTCAGGAAGGAAATGGAAACCCTCACACCTCTCAGAAAGGAAATCTAAAACACCTGAAAACTTTCAGAAAGGAAATCTCGCACAACCGTCATGCAGCTCCTCGCGCTCGCATTTTTGACCGCGCACATGCAAGTGAAAAGGTTGAGCTGCTGCTCATTCATACAACAGCTATACACAAAATAAGACCTTTGCCGTGCTCGCCAAGAGCTGCTTCGTCGCCTGAAAATCGCCGTGGTCCGAAATCTTCAACTCCCCTTACTCTCCACGACCAATTTTTTTCAATAGATCTATTGATTTGAAAGGAAAAATCAATAGCGATGGAAACAGCTAGTTTCACAATGTTTTTCAATAGAAATGCTGAACTTGATAGCACAATTTCTATTGATTTTTAATCGCAACAAATCTTGATTTTCTATTGATTTTTAAGAATGATTTCTATTGATTTTCAATGGTGATTTCTATTGATTTTAGATGAGATTTCTATTGATTTTCAATGGTGATTTCAAAGGTTGTTCTATTGATTTTAGATGTGATTTCTATTGATTTTCAATGGTGATTTCAATTGCGGTTCTATTGACTTCAAAATTGGTTTGCTTTGCTTGTGTCATGGCTGGGTAGCCATTAATGTAAATAGTATGGCTGGAGAGCCAAAGCTGTGTTTGCTTTGTTTGTCTCATGGCTGGATAGCCATCAATGTAAATTGTATGGGGGCTCCCTATTTTTTCAACCCCCTCACCCTAGTTTTCC